TTCTAAATATTTTTGTAGGATTATTTTACCTGGTTCAATAAATTTCATAAGTGAGGCCATCTGGTCTGCAGTTTTCTTTCTGAGATATTTTCAATTTCATATATATAGATGGCTATTCAGATTTTCTATTTCTTATGTTAGGTTTAGTCATTTGTGTCTTTTAAGAAAATTTTCCATTTCATCTGGCAAATTTATCGGCAAAGTTGTTTGTAACATTGCCTTGTTACTCTTTTAATATCTGTAGGGTCTGTACAGATGTCCCTTCTTTCATTCATGATATTAGTAATTTGTTTTCTTTGTTTACATTTTGATCATTCTAGCTAGATATTTATCTTTTCGAAGAACCAGCTTTTAGTTACATTGATTTTTCTCTGTTGTCTGTTTCCTCTATCATTGATTTCTACTCTTACCATCATTTCCTTCCTTTTACTTTCTTTTAATTCTTCATGTTCTAGCTTTCTAAAGTTGGAGCTTAGGCATTGATTTTAGACCCTTCTTTCTTTTTAATAAAGAAAGAAGCTATATATTTAACCATTGCTTTGCAGTATAACTTACACATTTTGAAATTAATTTTCCTTCATTCAGTTCAAAATATTTTCAAATTTCCCTTAGGAAACTTGATCTATTGATTATTTAAAAGTATATTTTGTAATTTACACATATTTAGGGATTTCCCAATTACTTTACTATTATTCCAAATTTAATTTTGTTTGGGTCAGAGAACATACACAGTCTGATTTCAATCCTTTTAAATTTATTGAGATTTGTTGTATGGTCCCATATATATTCTATCTTGGTGAATATTTTATGTGCATTTGAAAAGAATGTGTATTCTGCTGTCGTTGGGTAGAATTTTCTATAAATGTCAGGTCAAGTTGGATGATAATATAGTTCAAATCATCTATATCCTTACAGATTTTTCTGTTATTCTATGAATTAATGAGAAAAGATTATTGAAATTTTAACTGTATTTGAGATTTGTCTGTTTTTCCTGACATTTCTGTCAGTTTTTGCCTCTTCTATTCTGGAACTCTATTTTTAGGTGCAAATACTTTTAGGATTATGTCTTTATAATGAATTGATTCTTTTATCACTACAAAGTGTCACTCTTTATCCTTGGTAAAACTCCTTGTCTGATATAGTAGACCTGTTTCTACAATTTATGATTAGTATTTTTTCTGTCATTTTACTCTCAATATGTGTCTTTGTATTCTAAGTCTGTTTCTTACAGGAAATATGTAGTATCTTTTTATCCAATTGGACAATTTCTGCTTTTTCATAGATGTTTTTAGAGTATTTATATTTAATATAAATTTTGATATGATTGGGTTTAAATCTGTCATCTTGCCGTTTGTTTTTAATTTGTCTTATCTGTTTTTGTTTCTTTTTCTTCTTGTCCTGCTTTCTTTTGGATTGATTAATTTTTTGGAATTCCATTTATGTCCACTATTGGCTTACTAATTGTACCTTGGAAGACTTTAATACAAATTTTTTTACTTATTATATTATATTTTCAAATGATATTATGCTACTTCACATATAATGTAAGAACCTTATTATATACTTTCATTTTCCTCCCTTACTTTGTGCTATTGTCCTATATTTTACTTCTGTATATATTGGAAATGCCACAACACATTGTTATTACTTTTGTTTTAAATTCAAAAAATTTTAAAGAAATTTATAAAATGAGCATTGTTTTGAAGTTTCATTGGGGTGAGTCTAGAATTCCATTTTTTATTAGGGGTGGGTTAGACACTTGATCTTAGCCAAAAAGGCCAAGAAGCAATATTATTAT